CCCCAACTGCATACGTCCCATTTTTTAAAAAAATCTGAATCTGTGAGCGCGGAAATCGTCTGGGCTGTCTGCATGCATGTGCCAGCCTCGCAAGAATGGTTCTCGTATTAACCTTGAGGGAGGCCGGCGCATGCTCACACAGCCCAGCTTCTTCCCTGCTCCAAATGAATGGAGCCCGTTGTGTGTTAAAGATTAGCAACACGAGTAGTTGAGATGTCATAAACTAGTACAGATAAAATGCTTGAGCTGAACATCTCAATTCTGAAGTTTGTCTGTTGAATACAGAATTATATAAAACCCTTAACTTCTCTGCATTCCCACTTTCTCATATGAAATTGCTATGGCTTCTTGAGAAGTCACCTCCTGCCTCGACTACTCAAATACCCTCCTTGCCAGTCTCCCCAGCTCCATTATCCACAAAATTCCAGTTAATTCAAACTCTGCCATCCATATACTCACCCGCACTAAACTCTGCACCCCCATCACACCAGTTCTTGACAGGTTCCATTGGTTCCCTATCCCCGAACAGATCGATTTCAAAATCCTCACATTCATCTTCAAATCCCCATCCCACCTTTCCAACCTGCTTACTCCCCAACTCAAGACCCGCTGCCTCTGCTTGACTGGCTCGGGCCTCCTGCTTGTCCCTCGTGCCCCCCGTTCCACCTGCAATGGCTGCGTTTTCCACCACTACGCCACAAAACTCTGGAACACTCTTCCTTTATCCCTCTTCTTGCCCCCTCCTTCCCCATCTTCAGGTCACGCCTTAAGATCTTCCTCTGCGACTGTGCCTACAATCACCTCCCCCCGGGTTGGGATCATGCTCTGCCACTGTCAAGTGCTCTGGGACGCTACCCTGCATTAGGGGCACGATATAAATGCAGGTTGTTGTTGTCTTGAACAGATGATGCTGCTTCCATTTTATTCTCAGATAAAGTTAGTTACTTCAAAAATCATTTCATCACTGACACATCACCAGTTTTAAAATGTGACCAGACTGATACATTTTCAATGAAGAAGCTAGACAAGCTTGTAAAAAAATTCCTTCAGTTAAGAGAATATGCAAAGATCTACTGGAGATTGTATCGCTCATTAAACGATAATTCACCTGGAAAAGGTAGTGCCAACATACAACAATGAACAGAACTGATTCTAATCTTCAGAAGGCATTGACAAAGTTCCATAAGCGAGTCTTTTAAAGAAGATTAAAGTTCACAGAATTAATGACAAATTAACTTAGATTGAAAACTACTTACTTTAAGAATATTAATTTAAGCCATTAAATCAAATGTAAGTATTATTACGAGATACTATGGGCATGAAAAGATAAATATCACAAGTTAATGGAATAATAAACAAGGGTAACCAACCTACATTTATTTTGCTGTAGATTGAATCATTTTGCTATGACACTGCCCTGTTATAATGTGCTTCATTATGGTGTGAATTTGGTTACAACACAGTTGCACTGTGAAACCCATTCATTGCCCATGTGCTGATCCAGCCCACTAACTTCCCAGCTGACTTTCTGTGCGAAAGTGTATTGGTAATTAGATTTCTACCAACATCATTTCCTGCTTTGCTCCACATGTGCAAAGTATAAATTGACATTGGTGGCAACATAATTAACTGGCATCAACCAGACTAATGTCCTGCACTAAAAAAAAACCACTTTCTGAGCCATCGGGTTGCTGTTGACATCAGCTCCTGCTAAGAATTGCAGATATCTGGAAAGAAAATTCTCCCTGTATTTCAGGCTTGTGACTTTTTTAAAAAAACTGAAGCCACACAATTCGTGCACCACCCCCACCCTACACCAACATTGCAACCCCGATAAGAGTTCTGTTGGGGGCAGTAACAAGCGATATCCACAAGGATACTCTTTGGATCCTCTTCTAATCACTCTTCGTGTAAATTATTTGGAGAGCAATTCTTGAAATATTAAGATTGATGTATGTAATGCAGGCAGGCGATAAGAAGATGGGCTAAGGTGTGCGCAACAACTTTTAATTGAGCTAAATGTATGACAATGTAATGCACTAAGAATCGAAAAAGCTAGTAATACAAAGGCCTGAGAAGCAGGAGGAATGGGAGGATAAAAATTAAAGATTTCCTCAATCACACTTCTATTCAGCTCAAATATTAAGGCAACATCCCATTGTTCTAGATTTGTTTACCAGAAGGAAGAGTTGGTCCATGACACCTTGTCAATTTCCTTCACTATTTTAAACACATCAATCAGATCATCCTCAACTTCCTCAGCTCATGGCAATATAACCAAGGTCAATCCAACCCATTAATAGCTATGTACCTTCATCCCAGGTGGCATTCTGGTGAATAGACTTCCTTTTAAAACAAAGATATCATATCCCCCCAAAAGTGAAACACCCAAAACTGAATGCAGATAAAGGCTTTTTTATGGATTTCTTGTGAGAAGCCAACAACATATTTTTAATTGCTTTATACACCTATTAAATAAGTTCCGACTTCTGAGTGTCAGGCAGCGATCCTCTTAGACCTACGCTTTTCATGCTGTACAGTAGAACACAACTTTTAATGGAGCTAAAAATATGGTCAATCAGTAATAATAATAATCCTTGCATTTGATATAGCACTTTTCACGTCGGGAGGACGTCCCAAAGCACTTCACAGAACACACTGTAAAGTGAATTGACTGTATATTTGTGGGCGAACGCGGCAGCCAATTGCGACAGCAATGTCGCACAATCAGTCGTAGATTGAAAATGACCCATTTATTATTGTTTTTTTTTGGAGGGATTATTATTAGGTGTGTGGAGTAAGGAAACTTGCCCAAGGTTTTGCCCTGCCTGGAATTGAACTCAGGTCTTTCGCTTGCAAAGCGAGTGCTCTAACCACTGAGCTACAGGACTCCAAGTAGTGGACTTATAAAGCTGATGAAGCATGAAGAATGTGCAGATAAAAATTAAACGTCTCCGCAATCACGCTTCTAACCAGCTCAGCTCTAATTTCAAGGCAACGTCCCATTGTTATGGATTCGTTCACCAAAAAGATGGTGCACATCACCATGTCAATTTCCTTTACTATTTTAAACACATCAATCAGAACAAGAGAGAAACAGGCAGAGGGAGAGAAACAGAAAGACAGAGGCAGAGGGAATCCTAGCCAACAATCCCCCATTAAAACTGATCATTCATGGTTGCTTGTGGGTGCGCAAATTAGCTGCAGTGGTTGCCCAAAACAGCTTATTCCGCTTTATAGTAGATCCTGTGAAGTGTTTTGAGGCTTCCTTCAGAATACCAAACGAAAGTATTATTTATTATTACATATAGGGCACAGAAAGTGAATGCTATACTTCCTAAGCACAATGCAAGTGAAGAAGCATCCAGGATGCAGCATCACTCCTCTCCTAAAAAAAACACCCTCAATCCCTGCAAACTCTCCAATCTCTGGCCCATCTCCAACCTGCCTTCCTACCTCAAGACCTAGAAAGCAATATTTCTCCCTGGCCTCTCTATCAAACTCACCAAATTAGTGCGCAAATCCGGATCATGCTCCACCACTCTCAAGTGTTCTAGTACTCTACCCTGCTTGAGGGGTGCTATATAGATGCAAGTTGTTGTTATTGCTGCTGGTGTTCGGTTAGATTCTCAGTTTTCCTTCCTTCCATTCGGCCAAGATTGTTTTTTTCCCCCAATTTCACTACTTTGCCTGGCTCTAGCCCCATCTCACATCAAATCTACCAAACCTTTCCTTCACTTCTTTGTTAAGGCCCAACCTTCTCAAATTAACTCTCCTAGTTCCACCATTCATAGCTACACCTCACTTGCACCAAACCCAACAAGCCCATCTCCCTGGCCCTTTCTTTTTAAAAGGAGTCAAGTGTGAAGAATCCCTACCCCCAATTGGCCACTCCAAGCCGTGCCAATAAGCCAAGTTGGCTGGTCTGTTATCAGCCGTATCTATGGATTCACCAGGCTTAAGAATCAGGATAGTCACTAGTTGCAAAGTAAGTCATCCTGTGAGGTGAGATCATAATTTCAAATGATGAATTGATTTTATTTTAAAATCAACTTGTGCTATCTACGAAGATGCCACCTGCCTGATCTTTTACTGAATTAGTGACTCAAATATGAACTTACACTGTCCGTGCTTTAACCAGAAGGTATATTGTAGCAACCAGTGGATTTGGTTCAGTAAAGATGAAGAGCCACGTCATGTGATTTTGTAGAATAATAATCCTTGCATTTGATATAGCGCTTTATCACGACTTTGAGACGTCTCAAAGTGCTTCACATAATATATTGTAAAGCGACTAAAGGGAACTGACCCTCTGGAACTCCATCTCGCAGTCCCTCCACCTCACCCCCTCCCTTGCCACCTTCAAGACCCTCCTCTTCGACCGTGCTTTCGATCCCCCTGCTTCGCCTCTGCCCTCCGCCCTTCCCGACCCCGACCCCCTGTTCAGGTCCGAAACTCTATCTGTCCAGCGCCTTGCGACGTCCTCCTGACACGAACGACGCTCTACAGATGTAATTTTGTTGTTGTTGTATATTTTCTGGGCGAAACCTAGCAGCCAATTGGGATTGTGAGACCAATTTTTTTTAAAGGGATTATTACCCCCAGAAAAGTAATCTGCCAATAGACTAACAACCGGGTTGCTGTTTACTGCTCGGTAAACAGAGGCGTGTGGAGTAAGCAAACTTGCCTAAGGTTTTGCCCTGTCCGGGAATCGAGCCCAAGTCCTCTCGCTTGCGAGCGGAGCGCTCCAACCAATATATAATAATGATAATCCTTGCAGTTGATACAGCACCAATATGCTACAGGACTCCTTGCAACTATGCAGAGCCCAACACAAACACACTGAAAGCTTTGCCCAACTCTTTCACGGAACCTGTTCCCCATTCGCCTGCAGCAGGGCAGCGACAGCGGCCAAAACCAAAACAAGACACAGAACAAAGTTCTTTGAAGTCGCGCCCGAAAACCACCGCCGGCCGACCCGACGTGTCCGTGTCACTTACTTCTTGAAATCTGAGCTGAAGAGGCCAATCCCGGGAGCACCAACTCCCGAAGTCACCGCAGTTGCATCTTGGCCCAATTCGGTGGTCTCCCCTCCCAGGCCCCGGTCTCCTTGGTCGTTGTAAGACACGTTGTTACTCGCCATGATTGCCTGAAGCTGACTTCCTGGGGATCTGTCGGTCGGTCGGTCGGTGGGTGACAAGGCCGCGGCTGATTTGGTTGCGAGTCGCTTTTTTTGTTTTCGGAGACTTTTCTTTCAGCCCGAAAGTGACTCTCAGACACACACACACACACACACGCACCACCGCCCGCCCGCGGCTACCGGAAGTGTGACAGGGAGTCACCTGACTCGGGATCACATGACGCTGCGGCTGCCAAGGCGACCACGGCGGGTGACGCCACGTGCCAATCGCAGCTCGGCTTCCCGTGGGACTCGCGCACGCGCAGGAAAAGATTCCCACCCCCTCCCCCTCCCCCCCCCCACCTCACCACCACCTCACCGATTGGGCGGAGAACACGTCACCAGGTGGCCACGTGGCGGGAAGCCCTACCCGGGAGACCTGGGGCGGGAGCGGAGGCCATTGGTGCGCTGCAGTGTCAGCCCCGGCTCCGTGGGCAGTGCTCTCGGCTCTCAGTTAGAAGGCTGCGGTTCTGTGAAGCGCTTTGGGACGTCCGCCCGACGTGAAAAGCGCTATATCAAATGCGAGGATTATTATTATTATTATCATCATCATCGTGGGTTCAACCCCACGTCATCAGGACTTTGAGCTCACAGCGACGTTAGACGCACTCAACAAGAATCTACCGATCAGAATTGAACAAACAGCAAGAAGAGGACGCGAGTGAAAAGAGAGATATGCAGGTGTGCGTGAATAGTATGCAAATGTGCATAACTAAATTGAGTTCGCTGGTAGATAACCAACAAGGTATGGTTAACTTAGCAGCTGCGGATAGGGTAAGCAACGTGAAACAGAAACAGTTGGTGAAAAGCTGACAGAGGAAAACGTCCAACTGAGGAGGCAGCTGGAGGACGCGAGGAGAGCATTGCGTGAGGCTGTAAGAAGGAGTCAGGAACATGATGGAATAAACCATGAGCTGTGTCAGTGGCAAATCAGTCTACTGAAGCAACAGTTAGGAAGGAGTAAAGCAATAGCAGAAGCTGTCACCTATGGGACAGTAGGAAAGTCTGATATGCATAACGATGATGATATGGACTGGGGGTGTTTGGATGAAAAGGGAGCCCAATATCACTATGATAGATTCCTGAGCGGTGCAAAGGGATTGGTAGAGGTGGTTTATCAAACTATACGTACTAATCCTCAGGGAGGGGTAACTGCTAGTTATGAGGCAAATCGCCCGCTTACTCACCCTGAGTGTGAGGCTCTAGCCCAGGAGCTGGGAATCATTGAAGGGAGGTGTCCCCTCGAGCTCAGTACTACTTGGAACATTTTTGTACAAAGCCATCCTGAGTTGAGTGATCAGGATACAGAAAGTGGTTTTGATGGCAACAGTATTAAACGTTAAGGGACAATTGGGAGCGTCGATATTTGGTGCAACTACGATAGCACAGGGAACGGTTGATGCCATTAAAGCGATACTCGGGGTAGTAAGTATTGATGTACATGCTCAAATTGGGAAGTGTGAGCAGGGGAAGACAGAAAATCCAGAGATTTTCGAACAGAGGTTACATAGTTTATCTGAGCTTTCTCAGGCCATTGCTCCTGTCACGACCGTATTCCGGAACATTGCCAATTACAAAAACCTTTTTCTAAGGAAATTACAACCCCGAGTTAAGACAGCTTTAGCAGTAGCGGTGAATGGAGACACTCCATGGGGGGAAATAATGGATAAATTCATGCGGACATGGAGACAGTCTCAGCTCGCGCAGGCTGATCCCGTACTGAACAAGGTAAAGAAAGAAGTCTGTGAGGTTGACGGACCCTTCCCAAATCAGTGGAATATTAGGGGAAGAGGCCGACCTTACAGAGGATGAGGAGGAAGGGGTAGTAATTGGAGTAATGCCTCTAGCGAATGCTATAAATGTGGGGGTAGAGGGCACTTTGCTTGTGATTGTCCCAGCGAGCCACAGCCGGGGTCTAACCAAATTTAAAATTTCCCCTATATCACCTGTAAACTTTCGCCCACTGACCAAAGATTGGATAAATTGATTGCATTATTAACCCTCCAGCCGGTGACTGGAGGCAGTCCTCAAATCAGTAAAACCTCCAGTTCCTTATCCTTAAAAGCTACTGTAAAAACACAGGCAGCTATGGCCAGGGAATCTAGAGAGGGGATCCTGTGTCACATGTACAGTGTCATAAAAAGGTACTGCAGTTGGAGAAACAACTTAAATGTAAAAGAGTGATGTTAGAACGAGCTAAACATGAATCTGAGAAGTTTAACTCAGAACGAGATGAAGCAAGAAAAGAAATTGATAGAATTAAACATGAGAAAGATGAAGAAGTGGACAGACTTAAAGCACAAGTAGCAGCCTTAGTGGAGAAAGAAACTGAAAAAGTGCAGGAGAACAAGGGTTCACTGCAAGGTTTAAAGACAAAACGGGACAAATTCATTCTGCAGGTAAAAGAAGGGGCAAAGGTAAAGGGATAAACTCAAATCCAATGACAAAACCATCAATACCGAAGGATTATAAAGCTGAAATTACGAAAAGGTACTAAAGAGTCAAATTTGGAAGAAAGATTGGGACAAATGGTTACTTCTGAATTTGAAAGATTACAGAAGGAGTTAAAAACAATGAGACAACTGATTGAGCAATGTATAGATCCTTATGTCTCACCGATATGCCTCCAGACCAAACAGGGAGATGACTTATTGGCTAATCTGAAAGCCCTCAAACAGTTTAGTCTGCTTGATACTTGTGAGGAGTCAGGAAAGGTCAAAATGCTGTTCTCTCAAATAAAGAGATTAACAAAAGTTGAGAGAGAGTAGGATGGGTTAATTGAAAAGAACAAGAGAAAAGAAATTTATACAGCACAGCAACTTTAAAAATCACTGACTAGCCACCAACTGAGCAGTTTAAATTCACTGACTGCTCGCACTCTGGTTTGTGTAAACAAACGGACATTGCTTCATGCTGACCAGCACAGGCTGCTCAGAGAGAGTTAAGACTTTGGTTTCCACATAAAAGTGAAACTGTTTTTGCAGCTAATGATCTACAATTGAAGCTACAATTGAATCCCTGGTAAAGCTAGTAGTGCAAGTATTTTGAGGCAGGAGCACAAATAGATCAAATTTCTATTCCCACTTCACATGATGGTCACCAACAGCATCCAAGGCTGCACACTCCACCTCTCAAAGCCAGTCAGGAACCTCGGGGTTCTGTTCGACCCTGAGCTGTCCTTTCTCCCTCACATCCGCTCCACAACTGGCACCGCCTTCCATCACCTCCGGAATATCGCCAGACTACGGTACTACCTCACCCCTCACGCTGCTGAAACCCTGGTTCACGCCTTTGTCACCTCAAGGCTGGACTATGGGAACTCTCTCCTCGCCGGCCTTCCCGCCACCTCCCTCCACAAGCTGCAGGTCATTCAGAACTCTGCAGCTCGTGTACTGTCCCGCACCAGGCTTCGCGACCACATCACTCCCACCCTCGCTCGCCTCCACTGGCTCCCCATCCCCCAGAGGATTGAATTCAAGATCCTCATCCTCACCTACAAGGCCATTCACGGCCTCGCTCCCTCCTACCTCTCTGACCTACTATCCCCCTACCTACCTGCCCGTACCCTCCGTTCCTCCGGCTCCGGTCTGCTCCACGTCCCCGCCCCAATCGCCCTACCATCGGTGGTCGGGCTTTCAGCCTGTCAGCCCCGAGGCTCTGGAACTCTATCCCCCAGTGCCTTCGCCTTGCTTCCTCCCTTTCCTCCTTCAAGGCCGGTCTCAAAACCTTTCTCTTTGACCGAGCCTTCAGCTCCCCTCTCGACTCTCTTCCCCCTCCTCGCTCCCTCCCTTCCCTCCCCTCACCCTGACCATTTCCCCCTGCTCGGGTCATGACCCAACTGTGCAGCGCCTTGGGACGTCCTCCTGACGTGAAAGGCGCTTTATAAATGGAATCTTGTTGTTGTTGTTGTTGTTGTTTACTGCAATCATATTAACCAACTAAAGTGTTTAAAGAAACAGGAGATTTCACTTTGTGATTTAGTTCCTACAGATACCGACAATGGCTTGTTTCACCCTATGGAGGTCGCTTTCCTTCCAGCGACTTCTTCTGGGACAACTTATACTTTGCTTACCCTCCCATCCACAAAGCCGGTCTTCACATTCAATTTCAGCTCAACCGTCTTGGAGGGGAGATGAGTGGACAAGTACAACCCAATCAATCGTCTACTTCACAACAGTGGCCAACAGCTGCAGAGGACAGGGTCTATATTGGCAACCGCATGTGTTTTGTATGCGTCGGGTGTGGTAGAGGGCTCAGTGAAGGGGTCGAGAGGTAGACACTGACAGTTCAAGATGGAGAAGTGATAGTATTAAAAATGTCATTGTTCTGATTTATTTTATGTAATATTTACTTTGTCTATTCCAATATTTCAGTAATGCTCAAAGACAGCAGGCAAGGATAGTGAGAACATCCACTGAAATAATATTTAAAATTTCTGTAGCCATACTATTTGTTCATCATGATATTATTGATAATGTGTGCTGTAATTACAGATGCTAATATTAGTTGAAAGGATTGATGTGGCTGAGGTAAAAGGGAGTCGTGAAGATTCTGATGGTGTTAGTCGGCTGTGTTGTCAGCTTGACCCACTCAAGGTAGGTACTGGACATTTTGCAAACCCAGAATTCTGGTTTGTCTTAAGTTGTTCAAAAAGAATATTGCGAAGACTCATGACTTGTTTTGCTGAAATAGAACTGATTCTATGGACTCTCAAGGACATTGGTAATATCAGTACATAAAGGTTGCCAAGATCAAAAGGAAGTTTGGGAACGAAGAAGACAAGTCTAACTGATCTTAAGAAGAGATATTCTACAATCAACATTGATCAAGCCACGTTAACAAGTTGATTCCTAATCACAGCCGCTGTATCAATCTAATTAAATTGCACTGAGCTTTATGTCTTATGCTTTTGTGATTGCCGAAGCCGTAATTTTGAGTGGAGGGAACGAGTAGGATGGTAGGGGGTTAGAAGATCGCAGAGATAGGTGGGAGCAAGACCGTGGAAGGCTTTGAAGGTGAGGACCAAAATCCTGAACTGTATCCTCTGTGTAATGGGAAGCCAATGAAGTTGGGCAAGGATGGGGGTAATAGGATTGCGGAGTCTAGTGTGGGAGAGGCACAGGTTGCGGAGTTCTGGATGATCTGCAGCCAGTGGAGGGAGGAGTTGGGGAGGCCGACAAGCAATGAGTTTGCATAGTCGAGCCTCGGTGTAATGAAAGCATGTATGAGGGTTTCAGTGGCCTGCGGTGTGAGATAGTGGCAGAGCTGGATGACGTTGCGGAGGTGGGGGAAGGCAAAGCGGGTCATGGCGCAGATGTGGGGTAGAAACGATAGTTGAGAGTTAAACAAGACCCTAAGGTTCCGGACTGGCTTAGCAAGGTGGAGTGTGCAACCATGGATAATGATGCTGTCAGCGCCTGAGGTGAGGAGGCACTAACGGGAGCCAATTAGGAGAGCCTCGGTCTTGTTGACATTCAACTGAAGAAAGTTAGCTTTCATCCAGGACTTGATGTCTGAGAGACATTCTGTCAGGACAGCAGTGGTTCTGGAGTCGAGGGTGGAGGAAGAGAGTTAAGAGTTGGTGTCATCCGCATACATGTGGAAGTTGACCCCATGTTTGCGGATGTTGTCACCTAGAGGGAGCATGTAGATATTGAAGAGTAGGGAACCAAGGACAGAGCGCTGAGGAACACCGCATGAGACGGTGCGGGGGCTAGAGGAGAAACCGTTTGTGGAGATGAAGTGGAGACGGTGTGAGAAGTACGATCTGAACCAGTCAAGGATAGAGCCGTGGAGGTTGTGGTGAGAGGAGAGGCAGTGGATGAGGATAGAGTGGTCGACGGTGTCGAAAGCAGCAGAGAGGTCAAGGAGGATGAGCTCTGTGAACCCATTACCCTCATCCTCGCCCTGCTCCACTGGCTCCCCATCTCTCAGTGTGAGGAGGAGGATCTTGAATTTGATCCACTGGGGAATGGGGAGCGAGCCTTGTCCGGGAGAGGACACGGGTAGCAGAGTTCTGGATGGTCTGCAGCTTGTGTAGGGAGGAGTCGGGAGTCTGGCAAGCAGACCTGTGGGTGACGACAATGTGAATGGGAGTCTCAACGAAACAAATTACATTTGTATAGCGCCTTTCACATCGGGAAGACGTCCCAAGGCGCTGGACAGTCAAGGATTTGCACCCATGCTGGGAATTGGGATCAGGAGGGGTGGAGGGCAGGGAGGATGTGGGTAGGAATGTGACCAAAGGCGTAGTCGAAGAAGAGGATCTTGAGATGGGTCTTGAAGGAGACAAGGAAAAGGGTGAGGTGAAGGGAAATCAGAGCTAGAGAAAGTCGGATATAGGTTTGAAGGATATCTGGGGATAACTGGAGCAAGAGAGTGGGGTTAGATGAGGGAGCTTGTGTGGACAAAACTAACAGTGCAGATTTGATGGACTGAATGGGCTTTTTTTCTGTGCTTAGCATTCTATGATTCTGTAAAGTTCACTTGGAGCTAGATGACCATAAGAGGAATAATTAGAGGTAGCTGGGCGACTGGTGAGGAATGAGTCAGAGCTGAATTGCCACTGAGTGCTGATCACAAATTCCCAGTGAGTCATAAGTAGTGAGGGTCGAGACAGCAATCAGAGATTCAGGGATTACCTTAAGATCACAGCAGCCGAGAGTAGATAGGCATCAGAAGATGCCTTAGATAACAATAATAATCCTTACTTTTCATGTAGTGCCTTTCATGTCTGGAGGACGTCTCAAAGGGCTTCACAGTATTTTTTGTAAAGTCCAGCAACTGTATATTTTGTAGGCGATGACAACAACAAATTACGTATTTTTAGTGCCTTTCATGTCAGGAGGACATCCCAAGGTGCTGGACAAATGTAGGTAGGGATCAGATGATGCCTTAGAAAACAACAATAATCCTTGCATTTGATATAGTGCCTTTCATTTCGTGCTTCACAGGATTTTACTGTAAAATGCAATAACTGTTTATTTTGTAGAGAAACAACAACAACATATTACAAATTGCAGCAGCCAATTTGCACACCCATAAAGTGAATGACCAATTTTATCCGAGACGATTTTTGGCCAGGACACAGGGAGAAACTCCTTTCACTTTTTCAAATAGTGCCACAGGATTTTTAACATCCACTTGAAGACACAGACGGGACCTCGGTTTAATGCCTCACCCGAACTATTAATCCATGTACGTTTTCAAGAGGGAACTAACAACAACAACAACTTTGATTTATATAGCGCCCTCCACGCCAAACGGCGTCTCAGAGCGCTTTACAGTAACGGATCCCGGGGCCGAGCCAGGAGGAAGGGGAGGAAGGTGACCAAAGGCGCGGTCGAAAAGAAAGGTCTTCAGCAGAGAACTGAAAATGGGAAGGGAGGGAGCAAGACGAAGGGAGTGAGGAAGGGAGTTCCAGAGTTCGGAGAGTTTTAGGGAGAGGTCGGGTAGGTGGAGGAGGTGAGAGCCGTGAGATTTTAGACGTTGACGAGAGCCAAGGAGTATGGCGTCCGTCTTGTCAACGTTCAGCTGAAGGAAGTTTGCGCTCATCCAGCTCCTGAGATCTGACAGGCAAGCTGACAGAACATCAGGGGACTGGGGGTCGCAAAGAGAGGTGGAAAAATAGAGTTGGGTGTCACCTGCATACATGTGGAAATGTACCCCATGTCTTCGGATGATATCCCCAAGAGGGAGCATATAGATCAGAAAGAGGAGGGGGCCAAGGATGGATCCTTGGGGTACTCCGTAGGTAACCGGGTGAGAGCGATATATAAATAGATCGATATATAAATAGGAGTCATTTTTCAAGATATCCTGGAAAAGACAGGTAAATGGGCTTGAAAGGATTGTTTTTTCAAAGAGTCAACACAGACACGATGGGCCGAATGGCCTTCTTCTCTGCTGTAAATTTCTACAGTTCTCTGGCTTAACAAACTAAGATCACAAGATTGGTTTGGATGAAGAAGGCACATTTTACCTTATCCTTCCTGAATATGAATCCTACCATCTTCCCATCACAGTTTCAACCTGTTTGGTAAATGAATCCACTGTCCTGGCCTCAAACTCTCTGCCTGACAATCTGTTACAATCATTAATTATCCTCTGGTTAAAAAAAAACTTCCTGGTGTCTGTCCTGAAATTGCCCTTTGCAACTCTAAACCTATGTCCCCAAAATATATAGTCACTACACTTTACAGTATATTCTGTGAAGGGCTTTGGGATGTCTTGAAGACCCGATAAGGCGCAATATCAAACGCAAGGATTATTATTATTTATTATCATTATGTCTTGTTCCACTCACTTGGTACAGCTAAAGTGTTGGTCTGGGTTTACTTTTTCAATCCCATTTAAAATTTTATACACCTCCTTAAGGTCCCCTCTGGGATGTGTTCTCTTTGAGAACTGAAGAGCCCGTAGCTTGTCTAATCATTGCTCACAGCTCATTCCACTCACACTGGAGATCATCCTCGTTGCTGTACTTGTATGATCTGAACCAGTCAAGGACAGAGCCATGAAGGTTGAGGTGAGAGAAGAGACAGTGGATGAGGATAGAGTGGTCGATGGTATTGAAAGCAGCAGAGCGGTCAAGGAGGACAAAGAGGCAAAAGGAGCCCTGGTCGCAGATGGATAGAATGTCATTTGTCACTTTGACCAGGGCTGTTTCTGTGCTGTGGGCGGCACGGAAACCCGAATGGAGGGGTTCAAGAAGGGAGTGGCGGGAGAGGAAGAGTGAAGCTGAGAAGCAACAACTCGTTCCAGGACCTTGGAGAGGAAAGGGAGGCTGCAGATGGGTCGGTAGTTTGGGAATAGAGAAGGGTCCAGGGAGTGTTTTTTAAGGATAGGAGTCATGATGGTTTTTAATGTTGTGGGAACAGTACCGGAGGACAGGGAGAGGTTTATGATGTCCCAAATAAAAGGTAAAGTAATGCAGATGCTGGAAATATGGTATAAACACAGAAGTCGCTGGGGACACGCAGCAGGTCAGGTGAGTTAACGTTTCAGGTCTATGGCCTTTCATCAGAACTGGGGGATGTTGGAAGGGAGCAGATTATAAGGAGAAGCAGAGAAGGGGGCGGGGAAAGAAAGACAAAGGAAACATTTTTAGATGGAGATGAGATTAGAGGATGATAATGCAAGACAAAAGTCAATAGGATTATAAAATGAACGCATCTTCGAATATAAAATAGATGCATCTGTTAGTTTTATAATCCTCCTACTGCCCCTTTTGCCTTGCACCATCAACATCTCTAATCTCATTATTTTCTATTCTCCATCTAAAAAGTCTCCTTTTTCTTTTCCCGCCCCCTTCTCTGCTTTCTCTTTATAATCTGCTCCCTTCCAACGTCCCCTAGTTCTGACAAAAGGTCATACCCTCGTAAGCGAGAGACCTGAGTTTGATTCCCAGCATGGCAAAACCTTGGGCAAGTTTCCTTACTCCGCAAGCCTGATAATGTGGAGTTCTGTAGCTCAGTGGTTAGAGCACTCGCCTCGCAAGCAAGAGACCTGGGTTAGATTCCTGGCAGGGTGAAACCTTGGGCAACTTTCCTTACTCCACACACCTGATAATCCTTCAAGAAAAAAAAGAATAGTAATGTGGTCACACAATCCATGACTATTTGTGGGACACTGTTGTGTGCAATTGGCTGCCACATTTCACCCACAAATATACAGTCAATTCACTTTATATTCTGTGAAGTGCTTTGAGACATCTTGAAGATGTGAAAAGCGCTATATCAAATGCAAGAATTATTGTTATAGATCTGAAATGTTAATTCATTTTCCTCTTTCCATGGATGCTGCCTGACCTGCTGCGTGTCCCCAGCGATTTCTGTGTTTAATCTCCTAAATAAATTGGTCATTCACTTCATAATAATAAGAATAATCCTTGCATTTGATATAGCTCTTTTCACGTCTTCTAGACGACTCAAAGAGCGCACAGAATAACTTCATGGCCATTTATGAGACATTGCTGGGTGCAAATTGTTTGCTATGTTTGCTCACAAGATACAGTATACCAATTAATTGTTTTGAGATATCCTTCTGATGTGAAAGGCCCCATATCAAATGTAAGATTTGTGTTATTTACTATTATAATAATGTATTTCTGCATAATTAAATTGATTCATCCAGACAAAGAAGTGCAAAAAGGCTCTGATATCCCCCCACCCCCCATTCCATCGCTCAAAAGCACAATTCCCATTTCTATTCTCCAGAGTAGAATCGACCAACAACTATCCTCCTGGGAGGCTAAGGAGGTCTTCGTGGAGCTGAGCAGACTCCCAAGGTGATGTGCTTGGCAGGGGAATGTTGGAATTGACTCAATCCTCTGTAGCAGTCTCAGTTGTCCAGTTACTGAGACAGTCGGATCCACAGTACTCCAAAGCACTGCCGATGACAGCCCAGCCAGCCTGGCTCATCAGCAGGACCAGGAAAGGCAGACTAGAAGCAGAGATTATTCCAACTCAACTCCCGTTAATCCTGCAACTCTAAGTCCTTCAAATATGTGACTTCACCAACAACAATCAGATGTGAAAGGCAATATCCCAAATATAAGAATTATTATTAATTTTATTGATTCAGATTGGCGCTCAGAGTCAAATCTCTCCCTTTATAATGTACCCTATAGCGTCTGGTCAATGTGAAAATTAATCAAATAGAGCTAAACATGAGGTCTAAATGGAGACCATTAGTTTTATTTTTCAATTCAATTTATTTCAACAATTCATAGTGTATGGTTTACATCTCCTGTAAAATTTATGAATAGGAAGTGTTTTCTCTGAACGTTAAATCGCTGTTTCACATTACATTCATTTGACTTTAGCCATTATCCTTCAAAAGGCACAGTCGAAGTACTTGCACACTCAGCAGTTTTTTTTATATATATGCAGGAAACAAATGACTTGAAGCACATTGAAAGCAAAAATAAGAAAGATGCAATTTGTGAGACATTACTTATATCTTCCCTAAGTCTTTAGCTCCACTGAGAACACAAGTAGAATATAAATCTATGCTTAAAGATAAAGACTAGAAAAAGGCTTCCAAATGTTCATTAAAAAAAATGTCAGTTGAGCTGATAATGCTCTTTCAATTAACTCATTAAAAAAGGATACATATCTACTTTAGAGTTGTGTGGGAAAATGAATGAACAAAATGCTGCTTGTTGCAAAAACTTTGTGGGTAAATGCCCACTATAATAATAATAATCCTTGCATTTGATGTAGCACCTTATCATGTCTTCGAGACGTCTCAAAGCACTTCACAGAATATACTATAAAGTGGATTGACTATTTTGTGGGCAAATCACTCATGTAACCATCTCAGAAATAGAGTACAACTTTGAATATCTACGAAAGGCGCTATCAAAAATGTAATTTTGTTGTTATTGTATTAATATTTTAATGATTTCAGTTACTTCATATTTGCATAACATGTACATATTGGATTTTTAAACTTAAATTTGAAGCTGCAATATCACATTTTGGTGTGTCAGCCTTGCTCATTTGGTAGCACTCCTGCTTTGAGTCAGAAGGTTGTGTGTTCGAGCCCCATTCCATCGCTCAAAATATTCTAACACAATTCGCATTGTCATTATCGTGCATAGTACCAACCAGTGACTATTGTCTTGGGGGGGATAAGGGGCCCCTGGAGCTGAGCTGGCTCAAATGCAAGGATTATTATTAGTTGTTTCCAATACTAACATCACATTACTTGCCTCGCGAGGTCCTAGGTTTGAATCCCGGCAGGGTGAAACATTGGGCAAGTTTCCTTACTCAACATGCCTCTGTTCACACTAGCAGCGAGTAGGAACCTGGGTGTTAGATGGTTGGTGGATCAGTTTTTCTGGGGATGATAATCCTTGCCAAAAAAAAATTTGGTCTCTCAATCCACGACTGTTTGTGGGACGCTGCTGTGCACAATTGGCTGCCGTGTTTCACCCACAAAATATACAGTCAATTCACTTTACAGCATATTCTGTGTAGCACTTTGAGACGTCTCAAAGACGTGATAAGGCGCAATATTATATGCAAGGATTATGATTATTATTACATAACTGGGTACACAACAGTCTGTTTCCAATGTGGGAGAATGCATTAAGGGTGGGAGGAACAATTCCCTGAGCAATTGTTTCATACTCACTATATACATTGCAGGAAACGAGTTCTTCAAAAGAGAGGATGGCATTTAAGAACATTTGATGGAAAGTAGTTGTTATTGTGGGATTTGAGTGGCCCAACAGAGGGAGCCAATGTGTAGCTTAAAACCAAAGCAAGACAACCGATGATGATGATGAAGAGCCGGCACAGACATGATAATAATAATAATAATAATCCTTGCATTTGATATAGCGCTTTTCACGTCGGGAGGACGTCCCAAAGCGCTTCACAGAACACACAGTAAAGTGAATTGACAGTATATTTGTGGTCGAACGCGGCAGCCAATTGCACACAGCAATGTCTCACAAACAGTCCTAGTTTGAAAAATGACCAATTTATTATTGTTTTTGGTTTTGGAGGGATTATTATTAGGCTGTGTGTGGAGTAAGGAAACTTGCCCAGGGTTTGGCCCTGACCTGCCCTGACCCAATGGGCTCCTTCTGTGCGGCATCATTCCACGGCTTTGTAAGGGTCGGAGCCGGTGACACAATAGCTCGAGCGCTGCCACAACCTTTCCTTGTGTCTCTGAAGCCCGTTTGAAAACTTAAGAGCGATTCTGAGCCGAACTGCTCGTGTCGCAATTCAAACAACAGCGGCAGAAAAGCCGAACGCGAACCGAACGGCGTAACCGGACAGTTTGACTGTCAAACAGCTAACGGCCGCCCCCGCCTGGCGACGAGCAGCTCGAGCGTCACCTGACACCCCGCTCGCTCGAGCTTCACCCCACGTGACCGGCAGGGGGGCTCGCTCGCGGGGCTGACGTACGGCTGGTCGCGTGACCCACGCGGCGTCACTTCCGGAGCGGCCATCTTCTTGTTGTCGGATGTGAACCGAGTGGTGGTTTAAAGGGGGGGCGGCGGCGGCGGCGCTCACAGACAAGAGAAAGGCGTCGGTAATCAGCGGAGATCGGCTGTTGTGTGACAGACGCAGAGACAGGTGCTCAGGATCATCCACTATGTCGGACTTTGACAGCAACCCCTTCGCTGACCCCGAGTTCAATAATCCCTTCAAGGTAAAGCGAAGCCGACAAGCATCTGTTTTGTGTGTTGAGGTGAGGCCGAGGCTCCAGGGCCCTCCTCCCCGTCACTGGACAGACCCTGAGCCCCGGCCCCGGGCCCTCCGCGTCCCTGGCAGCAGGTGACAGGAGCCGCCCAGCTCGTCCCAAACCCGCTGCCGAGCTGAGCTGCATCACCCGCAGCGAAAACATTCCCGACCAGGATTTATTGGAAGTTTTGGTTTCTGTGTTCCGCTGTGTCCTGTCTGTACAGAGGCCCCGACTTCCACCACCTTCCGCTTGTCTCCTCTTTTCCCCTTTCCCTCCGATCCCTGATTTTTCTCTCTCTCTTCTGACTCGACCCCCTCCCATCTTTCTTGCCCCTGATCCCTCCCACCTCGCTCTCTTTTGCCTCTGTTCCCTCCTCCTCCCCCTGGCCCCTCCCACTCCCTCTTTTTTTGCCTCTGATATCTCTCTTCCTGCTGTTTTCTCCCTCTGATCATTTACAACAACAACAACAAAATTACGTTTGTATAGCGCCTTTCACGTCGGGAGGACATCCCAGGCGCTGGTTTACACCCTTCATCTCTTTCATGTCCCAATCCCCCACATATTTTGTGCCCCTAATATCTTCATCCTGATTTTTTTCGCTGATTGTACCCTTCATCTTTCTTTCCCTGATCTCACATTTTCTTGCCCCTGATATCTTTATCCTTTTTTCACTCTCTGATCATACCGTTCATCTCTTGCTTCCCCGTCTCTTTGTTGCACCTGATCCCGTGTCTCTCTTGCCCCAATCCTGCCCTCTTCCCCCCTCCCCCCCCAACAAAAACTTTTCCTGTGGGCCCTGCTTGTTTTCTCCTTCTAGCTCATAGAAGCTCCTCTCACCATCTACTACTTTGCTCACCTTTTTGCCCCTTTTTGTTTGTGGAAATGAGTTTATGTAATATCTTTAGCAACAGATTAAAGTGCAAATGCTATTTTGAATGATTTGGTCACAGCGAGGCTTTAAAATAGATCTTTAGGGCATGGTGTTTTAAAACAGCAACTAAGGCATCATTGAAGTGTAACTTCAATGTTATAGTCTAAGGTTGTAACTGGTAAGGGTTAAGTAAAAATAAAAGCCAAGGACTTTAAAATGTCTATATGGAGGTGAGTTGGGGAGAGAGAGATCAGTGGCAAAGATTATTTTTGGATAATTATTCTGAAATGGTGCTTAATTTTCTCATACTTTAGAGGCTGCTACTAAAGTGGATCTTTAGCATTGTTTGGAAGTGTGTAACACTTTTCATTCTGTATTGAAATGAATTCAACTTATGATGCATTTCCTAGAAATAAATTGGCTTCTGAAATAATTTTGATTCAAGACGAGATTAAGCAATAACTGGGAATCAATGGGATGTGTTAGGACAGTTGTTCTTCAGATGTTCTTGTCATTTGTAATTTCATTCAAGATTTGCATACTCATTCCATACATAAAGAAGGAAATAGAAGGATAAGGAGGAGGGTAGGCGTATGTGGGGGATGTCTGAAACCTGGAAATGCATTGATCTTTCGATGTACAAAGAATGTACAGCATGGAAACCAGTCACTCAATGTTGGTGTTTATACTTCACATGAGTCTCCACCCATTCCTTTAGTCTTGAGCCTCTCATGCGGCACTTTATCAAAGGCCTTTGTGAAAGTAAACTACATCAACTGCATTTCCCTCGCCTATTGGTTACATCTTCAAAGAATTTGATAAGCTTGGTCAAGCATGACCTTCCTTTCATAAATCATGCTGGCTGTGCTTAATTATATTTTTCTTCTCCAGATGATTAGTTACTTCATCTTTTAAAATAGATTTTAATACCTTACCCACAACCGACATTAAACTGACTGGCCTTTAGTTTCCTAGATTAGCTTTATCATCCTTTTTAAAAATGAGTATTACATTGGCCATTCTCCAGTCTTCTAGCCCAATTCCTTTCTCTGCAGAGTTCTTGAAATATTTTTTTTATCTATATATACACATAAATATAGATAAACCTGTCTTCAAAAACCACTCGAGGGACTGGGCCAAAGTGGCCTTTATATAAGGTCTCTGAATAAGGGCTCATTGACATGTGTAGAATTTCTAAGTGCATAGAAAATACTGAAAAGGGTGTTGGTAAAAAGGCACAGATGTAGAAGAACTAAAGAAGAGTGACTGCTGGTTGCATTAGACAGGTGGTTGCTGCATAATAGTTTGGCAAAATTGATCTAGATTGTTCTAGGATGGTTGTTTACAAGGGTGGTTGTTGAATGGGAGTGGTTTCTGGAAAAAATTGACTGTATGCTGGAGTCTCTGCTATCTCCTCCCTGGTTTCCCAGAATAGCCTTGGATGCAGTCCATCTGTGCCTTTAAGCTTGTATAATTTATTTAATACCTTCCTTCTCCCAATCTAAACTGTTGCAATTTTAGACCCTGCCCCTTCTGTCCTTACTAAATTTTCTTTATCAGCTTCCTTTGTGAAAACTGAGGCAAATATTAATTGTATTATTTCTGCCATTTCCTTATCTACTGTGAGTTTATCACCTTCTCTCCTTGATGGTCCTATCCCTACTTTAACCATTCTTTTATTGCTAACACCTAAACACTTTCTTTTTATATTTTTTGCTCTGTCCTCCTCGTGGTTCCTCATTGCCTTCCAAATTGTCTTTTTAATTTCTTTCTTAAATTTGCTGAGATAACCCTGTAGTCAATAAAGTGCCAATGCTCAATGTTGAGTTACACACAAATGGCCATTTCTATGTAGCATAGGAACTGTTTACCCCTTCCTTCCCCCATCATGGAAAAGTAAAATATTAAATGCCTTCAAAGACAGAATAAGGAAATTGCCAAGGGAAAGCCAAGGAAACATCACTGTTGCAGACGGTAGTTATCACTATCATCTGAAGTAGGTTTTTGTCCTGCTTCTGGAGGTTACAGCAAGATGAATATCTAGTCTCCTTGTAGCTTAGGGTGTGTTGTTTTTCTGGTTGTGGGCACTAGTCCTCCCCTCCTGTCCAACTGTAGAGGTGATGTAAAATATAATGGCAGAGTATAAGAAGGAATTGAGCCATGTTGATGACACCAAGGAATATAGCCATGACAAGTAGTGGGTAGATGGGTGCCATTCAAAAGGAGCAGGGCACAAACCTTTTAGCAGAGGCATGGCGACTGGGGAAGTCAGATTAAATCTGTTGCTTGCTTGCACAGACATTCGCCTGGAGATCCTGGAAGATCTGTGGCCAGAAAATTAGTAACATAAAACTGCACCAGTGCAGTTTCAATGTTCCTGCTGGCAGATCAAGTAACGCCTGGACAGTAAACAGTGGAATCCTACCATCAGCAGTACTGCATCGTGGGAGGTGCCATCCTTCAGATAAGACATTAAACCAATAGTGGCCAACCTGTGCCTGTGGGCCGGAAGTGGCCCCCAAGCCCATCAAAGCGGACCTATGAACATTCGCGCGATTCTAGGTGAGTCCATGTTTGATCAGTAGTGTGTTTTCAGTTTTTCTTGATTGAATAATTCTTGATTTATGGCATTAATCAAGAGATATTTAATCAAGAACATTTATTTTGTTGGCCAACCATAAAGTTTGGCCACCAGTGCACTAAACTAAGGTCCGGTCTGCCTCGCCAGGTGGATGTTAAAGATCCAGTGGCACTATTCAAAACTAGAAGAGAGTTAACCTTGGTGTGCTGGCCAACAGCTTCCCAAACAAAATAAGTCATTTTGTTGGCTGTTTGTGTCACATTTCTTTCAGCAAATCGCTTGTTGTATTCGCCCACAAAATATGGTTACTATGTAGTATTCTGTGAAGTACTTTGCTTGTAATAATAAATAATCTTTGCATTTCATTTTTGTTTTATCACATCTTTAAGACATCACAAAGCGCTTCTGGATATACTGTTCGGTGGATTTGAATGTAGCAGCCAATTGCGCCCAGCAATGTCCCACAAACAGTCATGGAATGAGTGACCAATTTTATTTGGGGAAATTTGTTAGCGAGGATAGAAGGAGAAACTCCCCTCCCTTTTTGAATAGTGCTATGGGATCTTCAATGTCTACCTGAGCAATGTGGCTCTTTTGTAGTTATGAGACTTAAAATCAGAATTATACAGTAAATGGACTATTTCATTGGTTAGTCAGTGAGTTAAACAGAAGATGCGAGAGATTTCCGCAGGGCGAAACGTTGGGCAAATTTCCTTACTCCACACGCCTGTTTACCCAACAGTAAGTAGGAACCCAGTTGTTAGTTGTTTGGCAGATCGCGTTTCCGGGGGGTAATAATTCCTTTTTTAAAAAAAATTGGTCACTCAATCCATGATGGTTTGTGGGACACTACTGTGTGCAAATGGTTACCACGTTTTACCCACAAAATATACAGTCGATACACTTTACACTATATTCTGTGAAGCACTTTGAGACGTGTTGTAGACGTGATAAGGTTATATATGAAATGCAAGGATTATTATTAAGATAGGAATCATATAAATGATTATATTTTTACTCGGGCTTCAACTTGTATTGATATATTGCACTACACATAGGACAATGTCTGAGTTGCTGGGTGGGGGTGAGATGTGTGTGTGTGTGTGTGTGCCTCTCTCTGAGTGTGTGCCGCTCTCTGGATATAGGCACAGCCCCATCCTACAGTAGCAACACAGCAAGGTTGAGCAAACAGCCGGCAGCAGTGCGCAGAGGCCCAGGCATTGAGCAAACTTTGTTTTTAGCAGAAGGAGTTTTTAAGCGAATTCTGCAGAAAAATTGCACCTCATTGCCTCATCTTAATACTTTGAAACCCTTCAAAGTGCAGTGGCTGCTAGGAAGTAAATGTCCAATCTAATTGGAGCATTGTTGGCCAGGATACAAGGAAAAACGCTTTGAATAGTGGTACTGATTCTTTAATGTGCACTTGAGCAAACAGATGAGATTTTGGACCGTACCCTTGACAACGCAGGGCTCCTCCATCGTCTTCCTTCCCCCCCCCCCCCCCACTCCCCCAAA